GCCTCCTCGGACAAAGACCATTCGACTCAGCGACTCGAACTCTACGGACTGTGAAATTTAAATTTTTCACCGGACTTCCCCTTTAATCGGACTAATCGTTTGAGCCCTAATTATAAGCACACTGTGTTAAGGAGGTTCGCGACGGTTAGCGCCATGTTGGATTTCCGAATTTTTTTCTGAAAAATAATGCCTTTCGGAGTGGAAAAATGGGACGCGATCATGCACAGTTTGACCATGACTTCGCAGCGCGTGCTCGAGTCGAGACAAGATTTGAGGAAGAAGCTCAGTCGCTAATGGACTTGCGGATTTGTTTTGACATCGGCGGTTTTTGGATAGCTTGGTTCTCCTGCCGACGTGTCGTGGAGATGAAGACGCGGGAGAGGAATCTGTCACCCACGACGCTGCCTCGCATTCTGCGTACTGGACGATTCAAGAAGCCGAGGAGGGGGACGCTTCGCAAGCTCAAACGTCGATCGAGTTCCTGAAAAACGGAAAGGCCGATCTCCACCACCAACGCCACTGGATTCGACTCCCGCGAAGAGGTCGTTCAGTGCCCCTCTTCACGGTCGACGAATCGTTCATCTCAGGTATCTGGCTGTGGGATTGTCTGCGTGCCAGGATGCTGGATGTGGCAAACCTCTGGCGCTCATCAAGTTGATTGCGTTGAAGAGAAGAGGTACGGCCTGGGCAGCGTACTTGTCATCATCAGTCCGTGTCAGCAGTGTGGGATGGAGAATTTTATGCTCAACACCCTGGCCTCCGTGCTTCCACAAGCAACACCAAAGCTGCTTTGGGTAAGTGTGTTTTTCAATCTCATAAGATTTATTCATGATATTTGCGAGTCATTTCCACCCTATGCCTATGGCTATGGAAATGTATGAGCACACTGTATGCGCGGCGCGCGCGAGCGTCTGTGTGTTTGCATAGACCTGCATGTTTGTGCATGTGTGCACCATACCTATGTATGAACATGCACATGCATATGCGCTCATGTGGACGTGCCCTCGCACACATTATTATTATTATTATTATATATTTGAGGATTTCCCAAAGACGTAGTCTAAATCGAAGGGAGTTCCATTATAATGGGAGACTGTAGGGTTGAGATAGCAGACAGTGGAGGGCTAATAATTCGTAATGAAGAGCCTAGCAAGAGAAATACAATTATGCTGAATGTTCCAGAATGGTCCTTTAATCAATGATACCTATAGCCTCGGGATATGCCTTGAAATACGAAATGTACCGAAACAGAAACACAAAAATTAATAAGAATAAGCGCAACGCACAAAGAAGGAGGACAGAGGCATGTCAGTGAGGAGTGGCATTGTGTTTGGTGTCAGAGAAGTGCGTGCAAATGTGACTGTGAAACAGGGACTGCGAGGCTGTGGCTCTCAGGTCTGCGGGCAAGGCATTCCAGACAGTAGCGGTGCGGAAGAGAAATGACCTCCCGGCGTGTTTCCCAACCCGTGGCAGAGTGAATGCGAGTTGGCGGCGGCGACTACGCGTGGGGCAGTATCCCGCTGCTTCAAAAAGTTCTGGTTGGGTGGTGACCAAATGGAAGAATTCCATAAGGCAGGCGATCTTCCTGCGCCAGGATAGACTTGGCCACCCCAGCTGTTTAAACAATGATGACTTGGGCTCGTCTGATGGGCAAGGGCATCTCTCAAGCCGCATGACTGTGCGAGCTACTCTGGCTTGCAGCCGTTCAAGGGTGAGCCGCTGTGCAGCAGAGAGGGAGGACTCCCATACTGGGGCGGCGTATTCTGCTGTGGGGCGGACATACGTAAGGTACAGCTTCCTGACGATGTCTCCTGTTAAACGGTCAGCCATATGGCACAGAAGAACGCAGCGTTGTCTAAACTTGCTTATTGTCTGTTCAATATGCTCCTGGAAGCTAAGTGTTTCACTCAACAACACTCCCAGGTGACGGTGACTGGTTGACGGCTGGATACCGCGGATGGTCTCTGCAGCTCCTTCCTCAGCGAATGAGATAACAACGGTTTTCGATGGGTTGAAGGTTCCGCCTACTCGGTCGGCCCAGGCAAATGTGTCCTGCAGGGCAGTCTCCATTGGGCTGGTACCTTTGGTTCGTGCTTGGCCGACGGCGGTGTCATCCGCGAACAGGTAAACATCAGCGTGCTGGTTGCGTTTCGAGGCACTGGGTAGGCTGTTGATATGTACCAGGAAAAGCAATGGCCCGAGGTGGGAACCCTGGGGTACTCCAGACTTGACGGGACTTCATACTATACACACGTGCATGACCGCTCCCAGGGCATGTTGGTGTGACATGTGTATGCGGGCATCTCCACTCATGCACATGGGTGTGCACATGCATGTGTGTGGGTACGTACACGTGCGTGAATGTATGTGTGTGTACGCGCGCGCGCGTGTGTTCTATTGCGTGTGAGAGCATGCGCGCACGCGCGTGTGTGTGTGTGTGTGTATTGGCGTGGGCCTGCGTTTTGTAGTGCGTTCAATGATGAGTGTTTTCAATTCTGATTGCCTGTACTTGTCTCCGCCACCACCCATTATTGCGGTTCTATAATTGTTTTGTGTTACATGTGTGTGTATGTGTGTGTGTGTGTGTGTGTGTGTGTGTGTGTGTGTGTGTGTGTGTGTGTGTGTGTGTGTGTGTGTGTGTGTGTGTGTGTGTGTGTGTATGTGTGCACGCATGTGTGTGTCGATGGTGTGCATTTTTGTGCTGGGTGAACACTCTGATCCCTAAACCGCGATACCGGAGCTCCCAAGCTACAGCCTCACATTGATTTATAGTTCATCGTTGGGAATGAGTTCGCTGCTCATGATGCTGTTGCGGATGTTGCGGCCCTAGCTGAAATTGTCGAAGCTCGCCCTGATGCCAGTATCCTGTAGCACTCTGTCACTTTTGCATCAGCATGTTCGGCGAAGGAGTTTACAGAATATCAGCAAAAGCGGCTGGCCACCCTTCAACCGTTGGTCCAAGCAACGTGCTTCTACTTGAAATCAGTTGCAGTGCGGGCAGCTGCTAGTGGGTTGGTGATGAAGCACTTTGTCTTGTCCTACAAACGAAGTGTCGCATGAGTCAGCCATTTCCAGACTGATGAAGGAGCAAATCGGAGGTAAGAAGCGGGTGACAGCCTCAAGGAAGATAATATTAGCGGTGGCTGAACACCTAGCCAAGAACCAGCAGCAACCCAACTGTAAGGAACGCCCTGTGGCACAGTGCTTCACTTGTTTGTGCGCACCGTAAAATACAATCATTTTTGCCAGTGTGGGGACACGTTCTAGCTCGCATAGTTGAAGAACAGGAGGACTCAATGTTGTCTGATTCGTTCCAACATGTCAGCTTTCATTGTAGTTTGATATGGGGCTGTGGTAAGCGCTATCACTGCTACATGTACATGTATCAAAAGTTCAAAACCAAGTACCAACAGGAGAGTAATCATGGAGAAAATTAGCTATCGATAATGCGTGCACCCAGTGTTTTCCGGCAAATTCACTAGTTCAGCTATTCCATCCTTGTATTGTTCTGAACGCCGAGGGCTCTAGCGAGTTTATGCAACACCTAACAGCCAAGAATCCAATAAGCTATGAACAAAGCAGCAGCAGAGAAGTACAAGCAATATAGATACGTGAATTTACCAATTTTAGGCAAATTTTGACAGTTTTTTGGATTTTTCTCCAGAATATGCACGGTGATCCCTATTTTCGCCGCGGTAAACCTGTTCCAACCCACTTATAGAACGTATTTGAAGTATCCACATATGGGGCAAACTCAAAAATAAGCTGCAAAAAATATTCAAAGTTTCATTTTTTGCGTCTTTTTGTTCTTCTCCAGGAAATGACGACCTGGATCCCATCGTCAACCAAAGTGTACATTTTTCGGTGTTGATATCATCTTAGTCAATACCTCGAACAGCCTGTGTAATTTTATGTCATATTTTCTGTCCTATCTGGTGTTATGGACGATTTCTCATCAATTCTCGGATTTTGCGATATTGTGTGTTATCCAGGAAAATTGTGTTTTTGGCAAGACCTAGTCAGGCAATTAAAAAACTGATGTCACTAAGCGAAAATATAAGGCTGTACCTATTCAAACCTGATGTCAAATTGGGCTGATGTTGAAATTAATTTTTTGGGCCTAACTGTCCCCAACCCCCTTAATTCATTATCTGTACCGGCGAAAAAAACCCTGAAATGTGTGTGTCATACATGAATTTGGCATGGCAACATGCCTCTGAAATGAGGTTGAAATAATAATGGAACAGTCTCCAATAAAGGAACGTCTCCATTAATAGCACGGGGCGGAGGTACATTGAAAAAATGAAGGACCGTGCTTATATTAGAGATAATACGGTAAACCTAAAAGGCGCTAGAGTATGCACTGCTGAGTCTGCATAATGAATGGTGGGCTGGTCACCTAATTCTACATTACACCTGAAACCTGGCAGGTCCCTGACACCGAAATTTTAGTTCACCTAAAATCACATGTTATACAGTAGGTCAACTTACATGTACAATTGAAGTTGGGAACTAATGACCAATGCCAATGCCGGCACAGCAGTTGTTTTGACTAGTGTGCACGGTCAGTACAGTGGCAGCCTGTCCCATGCACTGTCCTGAGTTCAAAGCATGCAGGACAGTGCTGCTTTGAACCAAAACAATCATGTGTATGCTGTAAAAGCAGAAATTTTTCGGTGGCGTTTTGTTTTCGTCTTGGTCTAAACAGAAAAAAACATTTGTTTGATTTGTTACAATAAGGGGGCTAACCAATGGCTTGTCCGCCAAGTTACCAAATTCTTTAATCTGTGCACTAAGGTAGATGGCAAGCAAGGATTACATACTATTGCTGATGCCATCACCTTGATCAGCATATTCAACAGACAGCTATGAGTCAAACACCTTGCCCCCCCCCCCCCTCCGGATGTTCAATACCACTTTGGTCCGCATGTTCAATAGACAACAATAGCTCAAACACCGGGCTCGGCATGTACAACAGACAGCAACAAAAACACGATGGATGGAACGAGACGAGACCATTCTAGGAGCTGACTAAGTACTAAGTACTCAGTAACTGCATACGTGGAATAGAAACATGGACTGGATGGACGGACTAAACAAGCAGCCAATCCAGCAGGCCAGCTGACTAACGTGTTGAATGACTCACACCAAAAGAATGCTTGCTAGAACCCTAAAACCACAACAAAAATACCTGATAGACTTGGTTGTAGAGCAAAGACAAAAATTTAAAAAAGCACACAAAAGCACACAAAAGCACACAAAAACAGCATCAGACTATCATGGATTCATTGGTGATATCTGAAATGTAGGGTGGTGATCTAGTCAACAACTATGTGAAGTCATTCAAATCTTCCTAACACTCTGCCGCTCGAAAAAGGTTTGGCGTCATGCAATCGGTATTTTTGTACTCAACCCTACGGATGAAAGTTACCGTCTCTTCGCCGTTGGTTCGGATAATAATGTGGATTAATTTCTGCAGTGAGAAGACAACTCAAGTACTATTACTCTGCACACGGCCTAGGCATGCAAAGGGCAACACAACAGAAACTATCACACACTCACACACACACACACACACACACACACACAAACACACACACGGCTAGGTGACCACAACAAAAGTTATCGCACACGGCTGGGTGACCACAATACAAACTACCACCACGGCTGGATAATCGAATCGAGCTGATGGCGAGTTCTCACCATTGCTAGAGCGTCGGCTCGGTGATACTGCTGACGTCGTCGGAAAGCCAAGCCACGGAAACCCGTCACGTCCACGTGTGAGTCCAATAGCTGCCAAGACGACGCTCAGCGCATGCCAGGAACTGACGCCGCGCCGTGCAGTAGCCCTCGTCCTGTTTCTTAGCCTCACCGTACGTCAAGTCGGACGCAGGGCTACTACTGCCCACAAGATCACAGCGCGCAAGCTCATAGTGCAGACGGCAGTGCAGCATGAAGAACGCCTGTCGGCTGAGGCGCAGGCTCGGAACCCCATCCAGCGTCCGCCGGGTCTCCAGGTCAATGCACTCGGTATCCGTGCCGACGGGGTTACCGGGAAACCAGTTGAACGAGAGCGAGCAGTTGCGCGAGATGTTTCGCTGCGCCGTCTGGCTGATGTGCAATACGCATTGTGGGACGACGGGAGAGTACGGCGACGGAACCTGAAGCTGGGCCAGGCGCCGCTCCAGTGATACGGTGGACGGGTCGCGGGTGACGCTGGTTGCCGTGACGATGGAGGTGAAGCGTACGGGCTGGATGGTGCGAGCCAGCAGGGCGCCCTGTACGCCCAGCGTCTGCCAGCGCATCATCTTGTCCCAGCAGGACATGGAGCGCTTGGCTGGCTGGTCTTTCGGACGCTGCTGCTGGTATTGTCGATGTGGTAGCTTATCGAGGCTTGGCATGGTTCCCACTGTGTTTATGCCCTGGAGTTACACATGGACACACAGACACAATACACATTTCTAAGAACCTGAACTGTGTTTATGCGCTGGAGCTACGCATGGACAAATGGACACAATAAATTTTTCCAAGAACCTGCACCGCGCTTATGCCCTGCGGTTACATGTGGACACACAGACCACAAAAAAAAACCTGTCTACAATCTTGCACACACCACTGCACATCAGACATGATGCACGCAGTACTCACTCTCAACACATACTCAAGTTTGAGTGGCTGCCATTCGGTGAACAAAGTTGCCTGCAAGACGTGGCAGAGTTTGGGTAGGTGATTTCGCCGTGGAGAAGTTTCACGCTACTGTGACCATGGTGACTGTGTCCTTCGCCCTGCCTGGTGACCGACTGATTTTAAAGAGGCTGCGGTCACACATGACAAGTCGCTTTTGCTGAACGCACAATGCAGTGGTCGCAGCAGTAGACGATCAGCAGAAGACAACAGTGCGCTGCATTGCATACTGTAAAACTGGAAATTTTCAGTGGTGTAATATTTTTGTCATTTCCCAAGATCAACGGTTCGGTAGAGCGAAAATTTTCGTAAACCAGTTTTCCGTAATGCAGCTCGCATGCATGTACGTAGATTTTCGGAGCGCTATATTTTAGGTAAAAATTACCTGTAACGAAGTTAAAAAGTCGGCGTGGAGACAAGAAACCTAATACAGGTCGTCCCCCGTTAATACGAGTCCGGTTAGTACATAAACCCCGTTAGTACATATTAAATCTCAAGTCCCGGACGAAACGTGGTCACTTCCATACAAATTTTGTCGGTTAGTACATAATCCGTTAGTACATAAACCCCGTTAGTACATAACATTTCTCCATACCCGCATGTCACCTACCTCAATAGTACATAATTTACTGGGCTTTTGGCCTTCCAGTGGAGGCACATCGTGTTCAAGTTTCTACTTGTGGATGCAATTAGCATAGAAATCAGAGCGCACATCACAAACCGACAAAGCTCTGTTTTTTTTCCGAGTGACTGTACAGGTGCGCCTGGGCATGTACCATGTCAACTGTAGAATCTTCGCTAAATGTGACCGTTATAACATAATTTTTATGTTATATCGAGGGAATCAAGAATATCTCGCTGCCTAGTCATGGTAGCAAGAAACACTAAGAAAAGTTGAAAAAGTGAAAAATTCTGGTATACAAGCAAGTTATGTACACTTTCGTTTAGTACATAAACCCCGTTAATACATAACATTTGTCAAGTCCCAGAGATTATGTATTAACGAGGGACGACCTGTATGGATGAAAGTAAAGTGAGCATACTCATACCACGAGAGAACAATGGAACAATATTTTAAAAGATTTGAACGTCGTTTTCATGTAATAATCATCAGAAATCGTCATCACACTGACGTTTGAACAAACGGCGAGGAGACAATAATTTATAACTGCAATCAATAAGACAAGCTGAATCGGCATTTGTGTATACTTTATTCATGCAATGTAAAACGGTGGAGACAATGTGCAATAAAACGATGAAAATAGGAAGAAATGGTGTTGTTCAAATCTTAAAATATTGTTCCATTGTTCTCGTTTTTAATACGAACTACAGTCACGGGCGGCAGCACCTTTTTTGGCTCCCGAAAAGCGGCCTTTTTTGTAATTTCCTGGGCTTTAGGCCACCGGAAAAGTCCTTTATTTAGTAATAAAATGGCTAATAAGCCCGCTGCTGAAGTGGACATTGCAGTCCTGATCGACGGGGAGCTGAGGGACCTCATCAGGCAGCGTGGACTGGAAATCCCACGAAAAGCCACCAGACCCGATCTTGTTGCCCTGCTCAGAACATCGCTGGATGAGGACAAAGAAGTAAGTGAACCTACTAGCACGAGCCCCCTGGCTGCTAATGAGGGTGTTGTTGCCAGCCTGTGCTCAGCTCTGTCTGAACTCACTAATGTCGTCCGAGAGTTGAAGACTGAGTTACACGCCATGAGAGAAATAGAAGCTAAATTCAACGATTCTGCCAGAGAGGTGTTGTGCCTGAAGACGGAAGTACGGGAACTTAGGAACGACCTGCATGCCAAAGTTGAGAGGTACGATACGGTGATTCAAACTTTGAACAATGACCCCACTGAACCAAGCTTTACCAAAACCGTATCCTCCACCCCACAACATCGACCCACGTATGCAGAAACTTTGCACCAACAACCAGCATTGCAGCCCAAAAATACTGCCCCTGCAGCTGCCCCAGCTGCCCAAAGGCCACAACGCCAGCCTCCCAAGCCGTACAGGCGACAGGAATCGTCTCGCTGGCTGGCACCCAAGCTTCCAAAGAGCACCACCCGATGTGCACTAACGGGTAAGCCAAGAGTCAAAGTGTTCTACGTTGGCAACGTGGACCCCGAATGTGATGCCAAATCAATTGCAGAGCATTGTCAGGCACAGGATGTACACATCGTGCAGAGTGTTGTGTACACCTCGGAGCGCTTCCGAACAGGGTTTGCCAGGGTCACAGTGCTGGCGTCGGACGCCACCACCGTACAGGACAAAGCATTTTGGCCGGACTCGCTCGGTTTTGCAGTTCGTGAATGGCGCTTTGGTGCTGACGGCACAGCTCCAGCACTCACATAATGCCACACACCACCTACCGGTATTCACAGCCCCTGAACCCGCATGCTCCTGTGTTCACCCCTTCGTCTCCAAATCCCTCAACCCCAGCATTCTACTCTACAATTCATCCATCCAACCGACTAAATGTTGGCCACATAAACATTTGCAGCCTACGACATAAAACCCATGTTATAACTAAGCTAATAGATGAGCACTGCCTAGATCTGCTGGCGGTTACGGAAACGTGGCTCGACTCAAGCATCTCGGACACTGAGGTTTCTGTACCAGGCACAATTCTCTTACGTCGAGACAGGCCGTGCGCTGATGGATGCACTTGCCTATCCTCCTGCACTCCATGTCGTAAAGGAGGCGGGATCTGCATCTTCGTAAAGGAACATGTTAAGGCTAAGCACATCTTGGACCACTCACACTCCAGTCTAGAGTTGATGTGGCTTAGAGCTGGCACAGGCAAAGATAGTACCTTGTTTGGTTGCATATACCGTCCCCCATCCGAGCCGGTAGAGTTTTGGAATCGGCTCGCTACATCCACGGAGCAGCTGGACGGCGAGAATATTGTGTTGCTAGGTGACATAAATGTGGACTTTCTGCGTCAGACGTCCAGTGCGTTCCACCATCTCAAAGACACGTTGCTACTTCCGTGCAGACTGGCCAATAAAGTAACTGAAGCAACAAGAATAACAGGCTCTACCCGTACATCCATTGACTGTATTCTCACAAACATTGATCGAGTTCCGTCAGCCTCTGTCGTGGACTGTGAGTTTTCAGACCATCGCCTCGTCATTACTTCCGTCCCAGTGCCCATCATGGATGCGCGGAGCAATACTACTACCCATCAAACACGCAGAGACTACCGGAACTTCAACGCTCAGCGTTTCTGCGATATGCTGCTGTCCTCCGATCTTCATATCTTTACATCCCGTACCCCAGACCTGATGTTGGACGAGTGGACAGGGAAAGTCAATGCTGTGCTTGATATCATCGCACCGTACGTAACCAGGAAACACAGGAAGTCCCGTCGGAAAAATTGCCCGTTCATGACCTCGCCACTCCTTGCCTTGATTAGAAAGCGCAAATCGGTCTTCAAGAAACTAAAAGCTACTAACTTTCGAGACGAGAGCCTATCTGTACAATTCAAGCGGCTGCGCAACCAGTGCAATAACTTGTATCGACACCTACAGAATCTTTACTTTTCAGACCAGTGCCAGCGGTATGAACGGGAGCCTCGGCAGTTCTGGAAAGCCTTGAATATGATCACAAAGCGTTCCTCTCCGAAGCAAACAGTTACCATCCCACCTGAGCGATTGAACGACTATTTTCACTCGATTGTCACAGATAAGGAAGCGAATTACAAGCTCCCAATGGGACCTGCTAAATCCGACGACCTTACTACGTTTTCAGCCGTTACAGTAGCAGAGGTGAAGCTTCGGATCGGTGACCTCCAAAGTAATAAAGCCCCTGGACCGGACGGCATTCTTCCGTGTCTACTTAAAATATCAAAAGACGTAATTGCTCTATCACTTGCTATCTTATTCAACACTTCCCTCTCGTCTAGTCAATTCCCATCCTTGTTCAAAATTGCAAACATTACACCAATTCTGAAGTCAACTCAAGGCCCCCGCGACTGCCCTTCTAACTACCGCCCAGTGTCTTTAACATCTATCCTAGCCAAGCTCCTGGAGGGGCTTGTGTTTTCTCGTATACATCTTTTTTTTAATGATCGTTGCCCATTCCATGTGGACCAGTTTGGCTTTCGGAAGCACCGTTCTACCGGACAGCTTCTCACCAAGGTTACGAACGACTGGCTTGTCTCGCGCGACGCTGGACTGCATACGGCGGTTGTCTGTATTGATTTGAAAAAAGCGTTCGATATGGTGAAGCATCAACAGCTTCTTCTTGCTCTCGCAGCTGTCGGTATTTCGGGAGTGGCCCTGGCCTGGTTCCGATCATACCTTTGTGCCAGACAACAGCGGGTGGTTACCCACACTGGAACATCTCCGTTGGTGGCAATCACTAGTGGCGTGCCACAGGGCACCATTCTGGGTCCGGTGCTATTTAACATATATGTACGGAAGCTCCCATTGACAGCAGAGGCCTTTTCTTGCAAGCTCCCGATGTTCGCTGACGACATGACGTTGTATGCCAGCAGACGTACACAAGCTGAGGCCGTCGCTACCGTTACTGATTCGTTATCTGCAATTTCTGTGGATCTAGACGAGCTTGGGCTGCGCATTAATACAACAAAGACTGTAACTTTGATGATTTCTAAGTCTTCTCAACCCCTCTCAACTCCAATCGTTTTTAACCAACAGCCTCTGACTCAAGTGTCTAGCACGAGAATCCTGGGAGTCATTGTAGACAGTGATGTTTCTTGGTCTGGTCACATAGACTTT